AAATCTACTTTAGTAGTAGAATATTTTTTATAAAATATAATTATATTAGTTTAAAAACTATTTTTACTAGTAATACAAACTTATAATTTATATATATACTAAAATTTAATTATATAAAATAAATTACTAAGTAATTATATAGATATTAAATAGTTTTAAATATATATAGAATTTAAAGCTAAAATTTTATATATAATAGTTTTAATATAGTTTAACATGGTCCACAAGCGAATGTTCAACACAAGCGAGTGTTCCGCCCCACTACTAAATTTAACTTTAAAGACTATTAATTCAACAACGCAAAAATATACTATATAAAATAAACTACTATAGGATTATTTAATATCCTTGCATGTACAAGAGTTATGCCTAGGCTTGTTGCAGCGCTTGCAGCGCTGTGCGCGCGCTGCGCTGCTTTTAGCAGTTAACTTCTCCTATGTCACGATTGTGCACGAGTAAGGTTATAGAGCTTCACAGAGGTCTAGTTTAATTACTACGTAAGGTATTATAGTAGGTACAAGACGTTGTGTAAGGAACAAAAAGGTTTAAAAGGAAATTAGTAATTAAATACTTAGCTTAAAAGTCTAAGCGCTTTAGGTATAAATTAAGCCTGTTTTAAGTTTAGTTAGTGTTAAAGCAGTTTATGCTTAAGTTTATGTCTATATTATGTTATATTTATGTTAGACATGCACTAATAATACTCTAGTACACATCTAATATAGTTATGTCTAAGATCTAGAGAGAATACTGTAACAGTACCCCCTCTCTTATTAGAAAAAGAATTCTTTACATTAGTAGTTCTAGCATTAGGTTGTCTTTATTAGAGTACAGGTTTAGTTTAGATAGGTATTAAGTGTAGAATTAAGTTACTGCAGAGTTCTCTTATAAGGCTTTTACAGGTTCCTATAACAGTTTATTATATCTAGTTTATTTTATAAGGTATTTATAAATATGTTTTTTTTTATTAAACTAAATCTATTTAATGTCTTTTATAACATATTCTAGTTTATTATTTATAATAATAAGTTTAAGTAGTAAGTTTAGCTGTCTAGGTAGATAGTTAGATTTAGAGGCTACTTAGCGCAGCAATAATACATAGAACACAGGGTGTATCTTTATGCTGTTAGGTAGGATTAATTAGTAAGCATGTAATAAAACTATATAGGCTACTATAAAAAGGCTAAAGTTCTTTTAATTAAGTTTCTTTAATTATTAGTTTATTTAGATATTTCTAGTGTCTAGCTAGACCTTCTTACTAGCTGCATACGCAGGGGCAAGAGTTTAAAATTAGTTTATGTACTCTTATTAAAAAGCTTAAGCCTATATAAGCTTTTTATAAATGTATTTAAATATATTTTAGATTTTGTTAATAAGTCTATTTATATTTATTACTTATATAGATTAATAAGTTAGTTAAAGGGTATTTAAAAGTAGTTTAAATTCTATTTAAAAGTAGTATTTATAGTTTACTAAGAACAAAGATACTTATGTTAATTTAGATGTTATATTATTAGCTTTAAACTATGCTATAGCTAACTATTTTACCTAGTTATTTTACTAGTAGTTTGTGTACACTTATAGAACTTATTTTATTATAGTGTTTACATTTTTAGTCTAGCTGTTAGTCTCTAGGTAAAAAGCTGTAAATAGATAAAAGACAATTTAAAGCTGTTTACAGAGTTTATTCTAGAAGGCTAAGACAAACTGCGTACCTCTGTCTAATATAATTATGTTAGGCAGGCTATAGTAAACTTATACATATTAGTAGAATAACTAGGCTATATTAAGGGCAGTTATAAAGAAACATAGTATTAAGTGTTAATACTTAGTTAAGTAATTAACAACTACTATAATATTTATATACTTTTTAGATAAAAGTAAGTTTATAATAAAATTAATTAATATATCTTTCTAAGCTTATTTAAAGATTAGAAGTAGTTTAAGTAGGCTATTATACCTTTCTTAAAAGGCCTTTACTTTACAGCAAGTATAGCAACATAATATGTATTAGCGTACAGTATAGAATATGCAGGGCTAGTAGTACTCTCTCTGTAGTAGGTTAAGAGTCTTTCCTTTGCCTAGGTGTCTTTTAACAGGCAAGTTGTGTATAATTTAGAGTAGTTTAATTCTTAGTTTATTAAAATTAAGAATTATAAGTTAGTTATAGTAATATAGCTTACTATTTTAGTTTTTATAGTTAGCTAGTGTTACTTTTTTTAACTAACTAGTGCTGTTTTAGAGTAGGTCTAAAGTTTTTTAGATAAATTTATTATTTAAATACTTATTAGTAATAATTTAATTAATTATCTAATTTATTTTATTTAAGTTAAGGTCTAAAAATAGCTTAAGTTAGAGTAAAGTTTAGTGTTAAGCCTTTTACACTTCTTTTTAAGTAAAAACATTTTAGAATTACCTTATAAAAGCATCTAGTTTCCCTCTGTTTTAACTAAGATAATAAGTAATCTTAAAATTAAAATAAAATAGGTATTTAAACTAACAGGCTTATTAGTAGCTAAGTTGTTTTATAGTTGCAAAGTACTATAAGTTCTTATAGTTAAATAAGACCTATATTAGATGCGCTGCACTTTCTAGTTTAAGTTACTATTATTTAAAGTAGTGTACTATAGTAAGTAATTCTTTATTATAAATCTTATAATTACCTTCTGCAGAACTTATTCTTTTTAAGAAGTATGTAATAGGCCTAATAGTCTTATCTAGCTTAGTCTAGAAAAGAACTTCTGCTACTATATAGTCTAAAGCATTAGCTTCTATAAGTATTAGTAGTTTAAAGTTAAAGTAGTAGAGTATTAAAGCTTTAGTAAAGGCTTTCTTTAGCTAGTTAAAAAACTATTAGTAATTTAAGTTAAAGTTAAATTAAATCTTTTTCTTAGTAAGTATAATTATAAGGCTTACTTACTATAAAAAGTTATTAATAAATTATTAGTAGAAGTTAGTAAATTTTATAAAGGCTTAAACATTTTTTATGTTCTTTAGGTATTACTAATCTAGCATAGTCTAAACCTTAATAGGGTCTATTTAGATGCTATCTATAAAGATTACATATTCTAAATATGTAACTTTTAATTAGTAGAACTTACATTTATCTATGTTAAGTTATAAACCTGCTTCTTCTATAGCTTTTAGCACTAGGCGTACATACTATTTATGCTCTAAAAGGCTATTACTATAGATTAGAATATTATTAATATACATAGTGCAGAACACGTCTAGGTAGGGTTAGAGCAAGTTGTTTATAAAATGTTAAAAAGTACTAAGTGTGTTAGCTAAGCTAAAGGGCATTACTAAGTACTTAAATAGTCTATATTAGGTCTAAAACACTATTAGCTACTTATTACCCTTTGCTATCTTTAGCTTATTAAAGGTAGTAATAATATCTAACTTTATAAAATACTTTACTTTACTTAGTTAGCTTAGGGTTTCCTATAAAAAAGAAATTAAGTATTAGTTTTTAATAGTAACAGTATTTAGTCCTTAGTAGTTAACACAGAATTAGAGCCTACTTTTAAGTTTCTTTATAAATAGTATAAGTAACACTACTAGTAAAAAGCTAGCTTAAATAAACCCTTTTTTTAAGTTCTTATTAAGGTATTTTTAAAGCACTTTTAATTTGTTTAGTAACATCTTATATAGTAGCCTATAACTAGGTTATTTACTAGGCTTAAAAGTTATCTAGTAATTATACAGACATTATATTAAAAGCTTATTAGACTTATT